CCTGGTTCCCCCTAAAAATTTGTTAAAACACCCCTGTAAAAACATTCTCAATTTGAATAATTTAAGCATTTTTTTGTTGCTGCCCGCTGCATGCCACCTCTCGGGGTTCCACACCCCGTCCTTGAGGTAGGCCTTAGAAATGTTGCTGGGCCAGGCCTGCGCGAGGGGTGAATCGCGCAGGGCCAACAGGACCGTCCTAGAATGCATAGGTCCGGCGAAGGGAGTCCGTGGCACAGAGGGGAGACGAGTTGGTGGATCTCAGGTCTTCTGACCGAGGCCGGGGAGACAAAGAGACACTTCCTTGCAGATTGGTGGTGTGGCAGTTTTGCAATAGCATATATCAGTGATGGCGAATCTTTTAGAGACCAAGTGCCCAAAAACTGGCCCCGCCCCTGCTCCACCCCTGCCCTGCCCCTGCCCCACCCCCATCCTCCACCCCACCTGCCCGCAGGGCCACTCACCGCCTCCAGGGCCCGCCGCAGATTGCCCAGGCAGCCCAGCAGCGCTATGGCGGTCACGCCTTCTGCCCGCGCCCTGCAGCATCAACTGTGCACGATGGGCTGTGAGGGCAGAGTCTTGTCTACTCTGCCTAGCTGCCATGTCCTTGGCTGAGCTGCTCCGTGTGGGCCACCCTCGAGGGCGACTCTCCTTCAGGGGGGCTGCTGGAGAGGAGGGGGTTGCGGGGGGAGGCGAGGCTGGGGCAACGGCACGTGTGTCCACAGAGAGGGCTCTGAGTGCTGCCTCTGGCACCTGTGCCATAGGTTCGCCACCACTGGCATATATTGTCTTAAACTGTGTATAAGTCTGTTTCTTTTTCTACAGTAGTCCTCGACTTATGACTGGTTGTCATTCAAAATTACAACGGACCTCTCTAGGTACTTACAATCAGGATTTGAAGTTCTGATGGCTGTCCTTCTGGTCATGTGACTCCATTTGGGCACTTCTCATTTATGACTGTTTGTAGTGTCCTGCAGCCAGATTATCATAATTTATGATGGGTTTTTTTTGCTGGAAACCTAAAAACGCTCATTGCAGACAAAGAGTCTTCTTAATGAGCATGGCATTCATTTAATGACTGTAGTGTTAGCTTAATGATTGGTGCAAAAAAAGGCAGCAAAATCAGGTGCAGTTACATGGTGACCCACTTAATGACCGGCACAACTTACAGCCATAATTCTGGGTGTCCCAAAGGTGCTTTTTTTTTTCCAAAAGGCAGCTGGAGTTTGTTTTTTTCCCTCGAAAATGTTTTGCTTCTCATCTAAGAAACTTCTTCAGTTCTGCTTCTTGGATGAGAAACGAAACGTTTTGAAGGAAAACAAAAATCAAGAAAGTCCAGTTGCCTTTTGAAAAAGCACCTTTGGGACAACCCTGACCTGGATGACTGAGAATCTCCATAGATGTAATTATGGCTCATAAGTTGAGGACTACCTGTATTGTACAGCTGGAAAAACTGCAGAAAAGGGTAATCAAAAAAGATCAAAGGCCTGGAGCTACCTGTATGACTAATTCAAGGGGGAAAAAATACCTTGTAATTTATCCCTCTCTCTCCCCCTTTCTAGCATGGCGGACAAGAACAGCACATTGAAATGCACTTTCTCTGCTCCGGGCCATAGTGTTACCCTCCTGCACGGCCTGGCTTCTCTGCGGGCTCAGGCCCAGTTGCTGGATGTCATCCTCACCATCAACAATGAGGTCTTTCAGGTGCACAAAGTTGTTTTGGCGGCCTGCAGTGACTACTTCAGGTGAGAGGCTCGAACATCCTTATGGAAGCTCTTTTCTGCTCTTTCAAACCCTGTTGAAAGTGTGGGTCCTAGATGGTGGGTTTGTGTCAGGGAATTGCGCAGTAGGTTTCCAAATGGAGTCCGAGACACTGACACGAATGTGAAGTTTTATATAAATAAATATATTTTACATCTATATTCACAGCAGATAAGATCATTACATCACATCATTACACCATGAGGTAAATTGTCAGGTAAATCACAGAACAGCATACAGGTAGTCCTCGATTTACAACAGTTCATTTAGAGACTGTTCAAAGTTACAATGGCACTGAAAAAAGTGACTTTATACTTATGACCGTTCCAGCATCCCTATGGTCATGTGATCCAAATTGTGTCACTTGGCAACTGACTCATATTTATGACAGTTGCAGAGTCCCGGGGTCATGTGATCTCCTTTTGCAACCTTCTGACAAACAAAGTCCATGGGGAAGCCAGATTCACTTAACCACTGTGTTATCAACCACTACATTTAACAACTGTGGCAAGAAAAGTCGCAAAATGGGGCAAAATTCACTTAACAAATGCCTTAGTTAGCAACAGAAATTTGGGGCTCAATTGTTGTAAGTTGAGGACTACCTGTACAGAGCACACAAGGGAAAAAAAGGTGGGGAAAAAGGTCAGGCAGCTTCTAAATTATATAAAGAAATAACCTTCGCCTTAAGGGCTGATACCCGTAATTCTAGCCTGGTTCTTTTTGTATTCTTACCATCCTAAATTTATGCTTATGCTTGGTATAATATGCTTGGATGAATCAGGAGTTTTTTGAGTATTACATTTTTCTGCAAAAAGTTTTCCATTCCTAAAAAGAAAAGGCATTTTGTAATTTATTAGTCAGGATGAATGCATGCAGTGCAATACCACTCAAACTTTGATGGGTTGTTCTAAACACTAATATTATAATATTAACTGTAAACAGTAACATTTTCATCTTAATCAGTATATTTGGAGTGTAAGAGGAAAATGGAGAGAACAAAACAAAAACAAAATATTAAACAAAAAAGGTTTAAATGTTCTCAGGTTAGGTTGATGAAGAATACTTGGATGAAAACCAGAGGTAGTTTTCTGGATAGAAAAAAAATATTGAGATCATCAGTTCTTGAGCTGAATGTTGATTTATTTACATTTGCAAGCCATTCAGTTGTTTAACATTAGTACAATGAAACAATCAAAATAGTAATAAGCAATAATTATCAAACCAACACATCAGTTATGTGCATCAAAAAAGGTAGCAACCAGCTATTTTATAATATTTGCTGGATGATTACATTCAGACTTGTTTCTTGAATGCTCTGAAGAAGAACGGCATTTTAAGTGCCCTTCTATATATTAACAGGGAGGAAATGGTCCTGTACTACTTATAACTATGTTATTTTAATATAAATGCACAATCATCATCCTGTGTTGGTATTTTGCACCTGATTCCCAGAACCACATAATTTTGATTGCCTAAACTCAGCTGTTGAGATAAGATAAAGTTGACCCAATCTGGAATAGAATGAAGACCAGACCAGCTTTGCTTTGAAAACAGTTTTCTGGCTTCAGAATGTGTCCTGAATCACCATGTTTCTTTTTTTAAAGAGTATATTTCTTGGACCTCATTCTGATGAATAAAACATATACTCAAATCTGCTCATTTTTTACCTAAATTGGTGGGATTTTGTTTAGATCAGGGATATCCAATCTTGCCAACTTTAAGACTTGTGGACTTCAACTCCCAGAATTCCCTGACCAGCACGCTATTTTAAAAATGCCAAGGTGGGATATGATAGAAGTGTTCCAATATCTCAGGGGCTGCCACAAAGAAGAGGGAGTCAAGCTATTCTCCAAAGCGCCTGAAGACAGGACAAGAAGCAACGGATGGAAACTAATCCAGGAGAGAAGCAACCTAGAACTAAGGAGAAACTTCCTGACAATTAGAACAATTAACCAGTGGAACAACCTGCCTCCAGAAGCGGTGAATGTTCCAACACTGGAGGTTTTTAAGAAGAGACTGGACAGCCATTTGTCTGAAATGGTATAGGGTTTCCTGCCTGAGCAGGGGGTTGGACTAGATGACCTCCAAGGTCCCTTCCAACTTTATTATTATTATTATTATTATTATTATTATTATTATTATTATTATTATTATTATTATTATTATTATTATTATTATTATTATTATGTGGCTTAGATTTTCATATTCTTTCTGGAGAATGTCCACATCCCTTCTGAGATTGGGGCAGACTCCAGAGAGGTGATTACTACTGGTAATCCTCATTTTATGACCTTAATGGACGGTGCCCATTATGATTGTAAGCCATGATGGCCATAAAGCAGGTCACCCACATGACCAACCTGATTTGATGACCTTTTTTGCGGCAGTTGTTAAGCAAACACTGCGGTTGTTAAGCAAACCAATTGTTTGGTGTGAAGTGGTTTTATTGAAAGCCAGAAATAAATGCCGGTTTTTAGCAAAACCATCGTAAAATGTCATATGACCACAAAATGTTGCAAATGGATATAAATGCAGGCAGGTTTGTTGTTGTTAGTTGCGAAGTCGTGTCCGACCTATCGCGACCCCATGGACAATGTTCCTCCAGGCCTTCCTGTCCTCTACCATCTTCTGGAGTCCATTTAAGCTCACTCCTATTCCTTCAGTGACTCCATCCAGCCACCTCATTCTCTGCCGTCCCCTTCTTCTATTGCCCTCCATCTTTCCCAGCATTAGGCTTTTCTCCAGTGAGTCCTTCCTCCTCATTAGGTGGCCAAAGTACTTGAGTTTCAACTTCAGGATCTGGCCTTCTAAAGAGCAGTCAGGGTTGATCTCCTCTAGGACTGACCGGTTTGATCGCCTTGCAGTCCAGGGGACTAGCAGGAGTCTTCTCCAGTACCATAGTTCAAAGGCCTCAATTCTTTGGCGCTCAGCCTTTCTTATGGTCCAACTTTCACAGCCATACATTGCAACTGGGAAAACCATGGCCTTGACTATACGCACTTTTGTTGGCAGGGTGATGTCTCTGCTTTTTAGTATGCTGGCAGGCAGGTTGCCGAGTGCCTAAAATGCCGTCATATGACTGTGGGGAGAACCTATCAGAAATTTGGAACTGGGTCATAAGTACCCCCGGATAGGTCCATTGTACCTTTAAGCTGCCCAGACTTGCTGCATCAGTGAGATGGGCAGCATAGAAATTTAATAAATAAGTACATAAACTTTGAATGGTCACTAAGCAACCAGCCCTAAGTCGAGGATTACCTGCAAATGCTTCTTCCATACCACACTCTGGCTCTGGTTGTTATGGGGCAGGCGTGAAAATGCCCCATTGGAGATGATCAAGGCTCTGAGTCATTAGTCAAATGCAGTTGGATTCAGACTGTTCCAAAGTGACCTCTTGGCATTGACCATCTCTTCTCTGTTTCAAACTTTGTGTTTCTCATCTTCTATCTGCTTTTGATTACGCTTGCCTTATTTGTGCCTGCTGTGTGTGTATCTGTGAGCTTCTGCACACACCCTGGTCCTTGTTTTTTGATTGGTGTTTGTTTCCGTAGTAACATCAACCCCAGAGATTTATTGCTCTTCATAATAAGAAGCAATTAAGAGGGGGGGAGAACATCTCCCACCAGATGCTAATGGCTCTATCGGATTCTGTGCACTACACGCTGGTCCCGGTGTGGGCTGGCTGCTGAGCTATAATTGCTTCAAGGGCTTCTCTTGTAACTTGGGTGTGTTGTAGGGTTGTGGTGGAGGAACAATGAATAACATAATCTTCCCTTTGGTTTGTAGCTCTGATTTTGATGCAGATGAAGGGTAAAAGGAAAGAGACAACATTAAAGACGATTTGGCAGCTGTTGCTTTAATCTAGATTTCAAGATTACAAGACAGTTTTTTTTTTTTTAAAAAAAAATCAGGATAATTATAAGTTGACCGTGCTTTTCTTGATATTCAGTTCTTTGTTGCGACAAGGCATTTTCAATCCTTCCCTATAAGAGGAGGGAAACTGCAGCTCATAATTTTCTTTAGGGGGCTGGAGGCTAAAACATATGAGGAACGGCTGCAGGAACTGGGTATGTCTAAGCTAACGAAAAGAAGAACTAAGTGTGACATAATACTAATTTTCCAATATTTGAGAGGCTGTCACAAAGAAGTAGGGATCAACCTAATCTATAAAGCACCTGAGGGCAAGACAAGAAGTAACGGATGGAAACTTACCAAGGAGAAAACCAGCCTAGAATTAAGGAGAAATTTCCTGACAGCGAGGACACAGTGGAACGGCTTCCTTCAGAAATTATGGTTGCTTCAACACTGGAAGCTTTTAAGAAGAGATTAGACAACTATTTGTCCAGAATGGTATAAGCCGCAGTGTTTCTCAACCTTGACAATTTTAAGGCATGTGGACTTCAACTCCCAGAATTCCACAGCCAGCATTGCTGGCTGTGGAATTCTGGGAGTTGAAGTCCACATGCCTTAAAATTGTCAAGGTTGAGAAACACTGGCATAGGGTCTCCTGCATGTACAGGGGATTGGACTAGAAAACCTCCAAGGTCCCTTCCAACTCTGTTATTCTGTATTCTGTATCTTCTGTTTGTTGTCTTTGATAACAACAGACTTAGAGTTTTAATAATAATAAAGTTGGAAGGGACCTTGGAGGTCATCTAGTTCTAGTCCAACCCCCTGCTCAGGCAGGAAACTCTATACCATTACAGACAAATGGTTGTCCAGTCTCTTCTTAAAAACTTCCAGTGTTGGAGCATTCACCACTTCTGGAGGCAAGTTGTTCCACTGGTTAATTGTTCTCACTGTCAGGAAGTTTCTCCTTAGTTCTAAGTTGCTTCTCTCCTTGATTAGTTTCCATTTGTTGCTTCTTGTCCTGCCTTCCGGCGCGTTGGATATAGCTTGACTCCCTCTTCTTTGTGGCAGCCCCTGAGATATTGGAAGACGGCTATCCTGTCCCCCCTCCTCCTTCTCTTCATTAGACATACCCAATTCCAGCAACCGTTCCTTATATCTTTTAGCCTCCAGATCTCTAATCATCTTTGTTGCTCTTCTCTGTACTCTTTCTAGAGTCTCAAGTTAGTCCTTGACTTATGATAACAAATGATAACAATTGGGACCAGAATTTCCATCGCTAAGCAATGATGAATTAAACAACATTGCCCAACGAGGTGGGTGTTTAGTGAGTCAGGCCCCATTTTACAACTTTTGGCATGGTTATTAAATGAATCTTTGCAATCTTTGGATATATTTTTTTTGCACTTTGTTAAGCGAATCATGCAGTTGTTAAGTGAATGCAATGCAGCGCTTAGAAAATGGCGGCTGCTTCTGGAATCGCACCATGTGGCTGCCTGAACGTACAGCACTGTGGAAATCTCAGGAGATATTCAAAATCTACAGAGCTCTGGTGCTTTCTGCTGCACTGTACAGACTGCATTAGGGAAGCAGAATGAATGCCATAGTCCAGGGGTAGGCAACCTTGGCTCTTTTATGACTCATTGACTTCAACTCCCAGAATTCCTGAACCAGCTATGCTGGCTCAGGAATTCTGGGAGTTGAAGTCCACGAGTCATAAAAGAGCCAAGGTTTTCTGGGAGTTGAAGTCCACGAGTCATAAAAGAGCCAAGGTTTTCTGGGAGTTGAAGTCCACGAGTCATAAAAGAGCCAAGGTTTTCTGGGAGTTGAAGTCCACGAGTCATAAAAGAGCCAAGGTTGCCTACCCCTGTCATAATCCTTGGATCTGCTTCTCCCACCCCCCAGGTTCCCCCAGGCTTTCCCCCCCCCCTTGGTCCCTGAAGAACTTGGGCTTCCTCCCCTCATCCTATCACTCATTGCCTTTTGAAGATCTTGGGAGCTCTGGAGCTTTCCACAGTGCTTTGCGATCCAGGTGACGGTGTGGTATGATTCCGGAAGCGACCGCCATTTTCTGAGCGACTGCATTTGAATTCTGGTCTCTCAGAAAATGGCGTCCACTTCTGGAATCGCACCACACTGTCCGACGGAGCAATGTTCTGATTCCCTAACTCGGTATGCACAGTGGTACAGAAATCTCTGGAACTCTAGAGATCTAGGATAGATCCCTTTTTTCAGGATTTACTAGTTTTGATGGCTGTTTACTATTTTCCGACTATTTAAGCCTTCAACTTAAATATCAGCTATACATGAGCAGCTGTGAAAGGGAACTCTTCTTGCTCCCCTCCCCTCTTTACAGAGGCATCTGTTTTGATACCGCATGGAGGGCTGGATGGACAGCCTGATACAGGAGGGTGGTTTTTATGTTCTTATTTTGTGTCCATTAAAGCAGGCAAGCTTCTACAGGTAGTCCTGGATTACAATTATTTGTTTAGCAACCGTTCAAGTTTATAACGGTCTCATTAAATGGTTTTTAATGGAAAAAAATGACTTACAACTGGTCCTCGCACTTATGACCACTAGATCAGCTGCACGGTAACATGATCAGAGTTTAGGTGCTTGGCAACTGGCATGTATTTACAGTGGTTGCAGTGTCCCAGAGTCATGTGATTACCATTTGCGACCTTCTCAGTCAACTTCGGACAAGCAAACTCAATGGGGGAAACTGGATTTGCTTAATGACCACAGGTTTCACTTAACAACTGCAAAGGTTTGCTTAACGACCCTGGTTAAAAAACAGATTGTAAAATTGGGCCTGACTCACTTGCCTTTGCCTTGCTTAGCAAAGGAAATTCTCATCCAAATTGTCATAAGTCGAGCACTACCTGTAAATCTCTTTTTGTAATCAGTTAAGTTTCACGTAAGATTTTTCTGTACGATGCTGTACGATGCTGGCCTATATGTATTTTACGGCTTTCTATGTTAATATATATCCTACAGCTCTGTTTTAATAGAGACACTTGAGACAGCCTTTAACATAAAACTAAATCAAAATTCATAAAAGCTCATTTAAAAAGGCAGCGATTTGAGAAGATAGAAAGGGTTCATCAACGTTTCATTAGAGTCAGAAAAACATCTGAACATCTGCACATGTCGAATCCTTGTGGAAGGTCTAATGAGCTGGTGTAAACAAGGAAGGGTTGAGGCAGATTTTCTGAGACAAGAAGCACTTAGCCATTGCAGAGGAAAGAAAGGTACATTTTTGTTAGTCATTTATAATAATTTAAATACGCTTATTCATTGAGAAAACAACCTCAAAGTGGAGTCACATGTGGGTAGTCCTTGAATTATGACCACTATTGGGACCAGAATTTCTATTGCTAAGCAGGGCGATTGTTAAGTGAGTCCTGTCTGATTTTACGACTCTTTTCACCATGGTTGTTAAGCAAATCACTGTAGTTGTGAATCGTGCAGTTGTTAAGCACATCTGGCTTCCTCCATTGACTTTGCTTGTCAAAAGCAGGCTGGGAAGATCGCAAATGGTAATCACATGATCCTGGGATGCTACAACATTGTAAATATACTGTACAGTATACCAGGTGCCAAGCACCCAAATTTTGATCAAGGGACTGTAGGGATGCTGCAGTGGTTGTAAGTTCAAGGACCAGTTGGTTGTAAGTCACTTTTTCAGTGCCGTTGTAAATTTGAATGCTTGCTAAACAAATCGTTGCAAGTTGAGGACTATCTGTATGTAATTTACTGTGATGCATCAAGCAATAGAAAGGCGAGTTATTTGTTGCACACTTTCTCAGCTGGCAACTTGTGGAAGATTTACTTATTTATCTATCAAATTTATTTGTTTCTCAATTTTATTTATTAAATTTATTTATTTATCAAATTTGTTTGTTTATCAAATTTATTTGCCGCCCGTCTTGCGGTTCAGGTGACTCTGGGCACCTTAGATTCTCCCCGATGATGTCCAGGAATGGTGAATCTCATCAATTTCGTCTCCTGTTCTTTGATCCTTTTAGGGCCATGTTCACTGGTGGGATGAGGGAAACCAACCAAGACGTGATAGAGTTGAAAGGAGTCTCTGCCAAGGGCTTAAAGCACATCATAGAGTTTGCCTACAGTGCCGAAGTCACCCTTGACCTTGACTGCATCCAGGATGTGCTGGGAGCGGCTGTCTTCCTGCAGATGGTACCCGTGGTGGAGCTGTGCGAGGAGTTCCTGAAATCGTCCATGAGTGTTGAGACCTGCCTTAACATTGGGCAAATGGCCACCACCTTCAGCCTTGCCTCCTTGAAGGAGTCCGTCGATGCCTTCACCTTCCGGCATTTCCTTCAGATTTCTGAGGAAGAAGACTTCCTCCACCTCCCTTTGGAACGACTCGTCTTCTTCCTTCAGAGCAACAAGCTCAAGAGCTGCAGTGAGATCGACCTTTTCCGGGCTGCCATCCGGTGGCTACAGTACGACCCAACACGCTGCAGCAGTGCCAGCCAGGTCCTCTGCCACATTCGCTTCCCGCTCATGAAATCTTCGGAGCTGGTGGACAGTGTCCAAACCTTTGACATCATGGTGGAGGACGTTTTGTGCCGGCAGTACCTCCTAGAAGCTTTCAACTATCAAATATTGCCTTTTCGGCAGCATGAGATGCAGTCTCCCAGAACTGCAATCCGCTCCGATGTCCTTTCTCTCATAGCTTTCGGTGGCACCCCGTACACCGATAACGATAGGACCGTAAGTGGCAAAGTCTACTATTTGCCCGATAGCAGCACACGCCAATTCAAGGAGCTGACAGAGATGGAGGTGGGAACTAGCCACACCTGTGTGGCTGTCCTAGATAACTTTATTTACGTGGTTGGGGGACAGCATCTGCAGTACCGCAGCGGTGAGGGAGCCCTTGACATCTGCTACCGCTACGATCCCCACCTCAACCAGTGGCTGCGCATTCAGGCAATGCAGGAGAGCAGGATCCTGTTTCAGCTGAACGTGCTGTGTGGCATGGTCTATGCCACAGGAGGCAGGAACAGATCCGGCAGCTTGGCATCCGTGGAAAAATATTGCCCCAGAACCAATGAATGGAGCTATGTTTGCCCCCTCAAACGCAGGACATGGGGCCACGCGGGGGCCACAGTGGGAGGCAAGCTGTACATATCAGGCGGGTATGGAATATCCGTGGAGGACAAGAAAGCCTTGCATTGCTATGACTCTGGCCTGGATCAGTGGGAGTTCAAAGCTCCCATGAACGAACCACGTGTCTTGCATGCGATGGTCAGCACCAATAATAAGGTTTATGCCCTGGGGGGCCGCATGGACCATGTCGACCGTTGCTTTGATGTCTTGGCCGTGGAGTATTACCTACCAGAAGCCAACCAGTGGACAATGGTAAGTCCCATGCGGGTAGGACAATCTGAAGCTGGCTGTTGCTTGCTAGAGAAGAAGATCTACGTGGTGGGGGGATACAACTGGCACCTGAACAACGTCACCAGCATCGTGCAGGTGTATAACACGGAGACGGATGAATGGGAGAGAGACCTCCACTTCCCGGAATCGTTTGCTGGGATTGCTTGCGCACCGGTGATTCTACCACAGCCAACAGCCTGGAGGTGACTATCGAAAACTACCCGGTCTTCTGAACCATCCTGTGCATGCTCTTGCCTGGCTTGTTTTGCAAAATAAAGTTGTGTATTCATGGCAGACAAGTGAACTCTTCTGCCTACACTCTCTTGGGGTTTTTTTGTATTCCAGCAGCCCTTTTCGACTCTGTTGGGAATGGGAGTGTGATATGGAAGACTGTCCTGAGTAGGGAACCTTCTCAAGAAGCAGCGGTGGTGCACAGTCCGGTTTCTCTTCCCTAACAATATCACATCTGCAGACGTTCAATAATCTTTTTTTCATTTTTGAATAACAGAGGGGTTCACTGTATCTCAGAGTGTCATTATATGGAGGTGTATGGCAACTGGACAGTTTGAAAAAAAAAGTAAAGAAAATTTAAGATCATCCTGAATTTCCCAGAAGCAATGAGAAGAGCAATTGAAGGAAGGAGAAGAGGGCTCTAGGAATCAACAATCTGTGATTTTGTACAGGAGTATTTTCCTGAAAAGCAGTTTGAACAACTGTAAAAAACATACCTGTTCTGTTGCTGAAAACTCGATAAGACATGTTTTCCTATGCAGAGATTTAGGAAAGTGCCAAGAAGACTCCACAGAAGCTTGGAATCCATGGAGAGGAGGCCAAACCAGGATTATTAGCACAGGTAAATACGACTTCCATAAACTGACAGTACAGATATTCCTCGACTTACAACAGTTCATTTAGTAACTGTTCAAAGTTACAAGGGCACTGAAAAAAGTGACTTACGACCGTTTTTCACACTTAGGACCGTTGCAGCATCCCTGTGGTCACATGATCAACATTCAGATGCTTGGCAACTGGTTCACATTTATGACGTTGCCGTGTCCTGGGGTCATGTGATTACCTTTTCTAACCTGACATGCAAAGTCAATGGGGAAGCCAGATTCATTTAACAACTGGGTTAGTAACTTAACAACTGCAGTGATTCGCTTAACAACTGTGGCAACAAAGGTCATAAAACGGGGCAAAAATCACTTAACAAATGTTTCATTTAGCGACAGAAATGTTGGGCTCAATTGTGGTCGTAAGTTGAGGACTACCTGTACCTGTTATTTTTTTATCGTCATCATTTTGGGGGAACATATGTGGAGAATCATACTTTAATAGGGATGTGTTCCTGGCCAGCATGCTGTCTTGACACTTGAACACTTTCTTGAATCAAGAATGTTTATTATTGGACAGGATGGGCAAGTGCAGTCTGAACAATCACTTGATGGGATGGTTATATTTATCATTCCTCTTAATTGTTGGTTATGGAAAACCTCTTTTATATATCTGCAGCTGCTTGGAAAATGAGTTGAGCAGAACAGATTGACATTCTGCAGGATGAACTCTGGTGATAGGATGTGTAACGTGCTGAATGGGCATTTATATTCATCTGCCAATTCAGTACTCACATCTGCTCTGAGTCCTGAATTGGCAGATTATTGCGAGTACAGGTGGCGCTCGACTTACAATGATTTGTTTACCGACTGTTCGAAGTAACAACGGCACTGAAAAAAGGGACTTGTGACCGTTTCCCACACAGGACCGTTACAGCAATCCCGTGGTCATGTGATCAGAATTCAGATGCTTGGCAACTGGCATGTATTTATGTCAGTCGCAGTGTCCCGGGGTCATGTGATCACCTTTTGTGACCTTCTGACAAGCAAAGTCAGTGGAGAAGTCAGATTTACTTCACAACCATGTTAGTAACTTAACAACTGCAGTGATTCACTTAGCAACCGCCTTGCTTAGCCACATCAATTCTGGTCCCAATTGTTGCCGTAAATCGACTGTAATGTCTGCAAAAAGAGAACCCTGAGGGAGGAGGGAGAACATCAGAGGGTGTTTGATGGGAGATGTTTGGTGTAGAACAGAGGTAGGCAACCTTGGCTCTTTTATGACTCGTGGACTTCAACTCCCAGAATTCCTGAGCCAGCATAGCTCAGCATGGAAACCTCTCCCTTTGCCCTCAGCATGGCTGGCTCAGGGATTCTGGGAATTGAAGTCCACGAGTCATAAAAGAGCCAACGTTGCCTACCCCTGGTCTAGAAGTAGCTGAGGTAAAATTCCCTGACGCAGTTCTCCATTTTCTGAGTATCTACAGAGATTCTCAATTATCCAGATCATGGCTGTCCCAAAGGTGCTTTTTCAAGAAGTAACTGGACTTCCTTTGTTTTTCCTTGGAAGACGTTTCGCTCCTCATCCAAGAAGCTTCTTTAGCTCTGACTGAGTGGTAAGGAATGGAAGGATTTATATCGTTTATAGGGCACAGATTAACCTCCAAATGGCCCCAACGACTCTCAGAAAGAGTGCTAATGCCCAGATGACTGCAAAGGAATATAAACCTTTCCATTCTCCACCATTTAGTCAGAACTGAAGAAGCTTCTTGGATGAGAAGCGAAACGTCTTCAAGGAAAAACAAAGGAAATCCAGTTGCCTCTTGAAAAAGCAGCTTTGGGACCTTCCCTGAGTAATTGTAATGCCTGTGTTGGCCATTCTGGCAGAAGACTGCTGCTAACACAATTGAAACTCATTTCTTCCTTTGCTTTTTCTGTATTTAAATAGCCACGTATGCTTCAGCGGCAGCCTGGAACAGCAAACGAGAACTTTGCATTAAATACATAAAACCAATGAATTGCAGCTTTTCAGAAGAAGCTTGAATGTGTATGCTTAGGAGTTTCACATCTTGCTGATCAGGTTTGTTTTCGTGTTATGGAACATGAACTTTGGAGCATTTTCCAAGTGTGGAATAAAAACATAACTTTCATATATCGACCTCCTGAATTATTTCAATGCACAGTGTACCAGCTGTTTGCTTGATTCTCTGTTTTGCCCTGGGAAAGGAACCAGGAAAACGCCGAGATAACAGTATTTATATGCAATAAAGTACACTTGCCTAGAAAAAAATTGTCTGTCTAAAACAAGGGTCTTCAAACTTGGCCCTTTTATGACGTGGACTTCAACTCCCAGAGTTCCTCAGCCAGGCATGCTGGCTGAGAAATTCTGGGAGTGGAAGTCCACAAGTCATAAAAGGACCAAGTTTGAAGACCCCTGGTCTAAAACTTCAATCTTGATAGAGACTTGAAGTGGAATAATGCAGATGGTCCTCAGTTTAACAACAGGTTGCTTAGTAACTGTTCCAAGTTACAATGGACCTCCCGGGGCTACTTACGAACCAATTTGAAGTTATGATGGCTGTCTCCTCATCCGCCTTCCCTACAGTCACATGATCACATTTTGGGCACTTAGCAACCAGCTCATGTTTAGAGCCATCCATGGTCACATGACCACCATTTATGTGGTCTTGTGTCCATTGTCACATGACAAATGGTTGCCACAAGAGATTGGGCAACCATTTGAAATGGTACAGGGTTTCCTGCCTGAGGAGGAAATTGGACACTAGAAGACCTCCACGGTCTCTCCCAACTCTGTTATTATTATATTATTACAACATAGAGAAGGACGAGGGGAGACATGATAGCAGTGTTCCAACATCTCAGGGGCTGCCACAAAGAAGAGGGAGTCAAGCTATTTTCCAAAGCGCCTGAAGGCAGGACAAGAAGCAACGGAGGGAAACTAATCAAGGAGAGAAGCAACCTAGAACTAAGGAGAAACTTCCTGACAGAACAATTAACCAGTGGAACAACCTGCCTCCAGAAGCGGTGAATGCTCCAACACTGGAAGTTTTTAAGAAGAGACTGGACAGCCATTTGTCTGAAATGGTATAGGGTTTCCTGCCTGAGCAGGGGGTTGGACCAGATGACCTCCAAGGTTCCTTCCAATTATTATGGTTATGATGATGATGATTATTATTATTATTATTATTATTATTATTATTATCATCATCATCATCATCATTATTATTATTATTATTATTGCTGGAAAATGGCATTTACTTCCTGTTTCTGGCAAAAAAAAATTGTTCATTATGAACAATGGATTCGCTACCAACTGCCACATTCACTTGATGACAGTGGCTTTCGCTTAATGACCATGGTGATTCACTTAACAATTAGCACAAAAATGGTCATAAAATCAGGTACAGTCACGTGGTGACCCATGTAACAACCGGCATAACTGTAAGTCTGGGTTCAGTTACAATTGTAAGTTGAGGACTACCTGTAGTTTGCAAGTGTGAAAGCCAACATGCGGCTGAGAAGGGAAATATTGCGATGAACTCTGAAAGAGAATTTTAAAATCTCATTAACAAAAAAAAAGTCAGTATTTTCTAAGGAAGCAAAGATGGATGCTTCAGGATATCCCTTTACACGTGAACTGAGAAGCATGGCCAGATGTTAATTGTTCCCTTTTAATTGGTTTAGCAATTCAATTTCTTTGAAATTAAGAAAAAAATTCTGGTGGTACATAAATATTTTTTAAAAATCTTCTGTGTAATAGCATTCTTGATAGAATTTATTGGCTGAATTTATACCATCCATAACTTAACCTGGTTACTATATTAACCTATTTTCCGGGCTAGCTGTATTCAACTCACCAAACCAGCAAGAAAAGTAATCAAGGTTAAAACTAACCAAGCCTGGGCATGTTTGCAGGTTACTGTCATCAATTGGGCTTTGATCTAGAATTTAAGCAGCAATTTAAAAAAAAGTCCATGAAAACAACCAACACAATTAACCAATCAAAATACAAACCTAGTCCCAATTCCAACTCACAACATGATTAACTCCCATAAAATAGAATCTGTTCACAGCCTTGGGGAAAGATTTAACTGGAAAATTGTTCCACCATGTATGAGTGCAATTGCAGTGATTATGGAAAAAGGTTCAGCATTTTGGTAAGCTTGTAGACATTGTAGAAGGAGAGCAGGGGTACTCAACGGTAGGAAAAGATCAAGAGGAACTTGGGAACATCTGATAAAATGAAGGGCACTTCACAAAAATTTAATCCAGGGGTATCCAACCTTGGCAACCTTAAGATTTGTAGACTTAAGCTTCCAGAATTCCCCAGCCAGCAGTGCTACCTGTAGCTAATTTAAGTGGCTTGTTTTTAGACCTAGTCAGCAACAAGAACAACAAAATCTATTGATTTGTTTCTGGCTGCGTTGAAGATACTATATTTTTGACACAATAAAGTTTCAGTCTTGATCTGCAATAGTGGTAGGCCTAGTTCAGGGATCAGAAACCATAAACACTCAAAGAGCCACTTGGACCCGTTTCCCACAGAAAACACCGGGAGCCGCAAAATGCATGTGCGCGCATGCGCGCGCCAGGGAGAGCCTTGATTGAAGAGTTTAATTAAAAAGAAATAGAGGGTGCTGTGCATGAGTTCTCTCTCTCTCTCTCTCTCTCTCTCTCTCTCTCTCTCTCTCTCTCTCTCTCTCTCTCTCTCCCTCCCTCCCTCCCTCCCTCTCTCTTTCCCCCCCTCTCTTTCTCCCCCCCTCTCCCTCTCTCCGATCTTCTGCTCACCTGGCAAGTTGGCTTCACACTGTTCTCCAACAAGCTGACACACATTCTTATTGGGCTGGCTTTCTCCTGCCCTTCCTGCTTCCTGCTTCCTGCAGAGACGCAGCCAAGGCAGGAGCCCTGCCCAATAAGCTTCTCAGCTACTCGGAGAACAGCGTGAGGCCACTCTCTTTTACACAGAGAGAGAGAGAGAGAGAGAGAGAGAGAGAGAGAGAGAGAGAGAGAGAAGGGAAGTGCAAGTGCCTCTCTCTGTCTCTCTCTCTCTCTCTCTCTGCAAATGGCAGAGGAGGCTGGGAGCCGAAGGAGAAGGCTCAAAGAGCTGCATGCGGCTCCGGAGCCGCGGGTTGCCGACCTGTGGCCTAGTTCGTCTTTTAAAATGGCAAGTGGACCATAGCAGATTGGTGTCATCAGAAGGGGCAGACCTGAAAATGGGTGGGTAGAGTTTTAGTTCTTAAAGGAGAGGGGTGGAGTGTTTAACCTCCCAGAATCTTTCTGTTCACATTTCAACCCTGATCATGTTTAGCACTAAAATCTCAGGATGCTTAATGGAGAGACAGATAGGGCCTGAGGTTGCATGTTGCCTACAGATTGCAGATAGACAGCTGAGTGGACGACAAAGACAGCCATGTTTTGTTCAGAAGGGTCCCTCTTAAAGTTTGGGTGGAAATGAAAGATGGACAGAGCAAAAGTCAGGAAGAATCTGGTACAGTAGTATGTTTTGATTTGTTAGTCTGATATTACCAAATATCCTTCTGATTTATGACTGATCATGGCTGTCCTCTTACAGATGGGCAGGGCAGCAATATAGGGAGCAGAGTCACCTCACCCAGATGAGTAGAACTGGGCTGAGCAATCTTTAATATCTACTCCAGACTTTTTCCAGGTCTTAATGTCAAGACCGGTCTGTCCCTTGCACAATCTTTTTGAAGATAAGGAGAACATTTACTCTCCTCCCATCAACTGGCATTTCACTAGCTCTTCAGGATTTTCCAGACAGTTCAGTCAGACCATAAATTCTTCCAGCATCAATTCTTTGATCGTTCAACTGCTTCTGGCGATTTAAGCACATTTGAAATAAAGATTCCTCTTTATTTCAAACTTACATCCTTCTCCTGTATTCTTCCCTTCACAATTTATTGGTGGAACGCATTCCTCCCCACCCCTTGGAAAAGACTGGGCAAAGTAAGAATTGAATCGCTCAGCCTTTTCTTCTTAGCTCACAGCATTTTTCTTCACTGAACAGCTGATATACTGATTTTTTAAATTTTGATTGCATCCAAAGAAACCCATTGTTCTTTTGCTTGTCCTATATGCCTCCTTTCCCTTTTGGGGGTTTAAAAATCCTTTTCAGGTTTTAGTAAGCTTTTGGGATAACTACCCTGGCTTCTTTGGTGTCTTCCATTTTTTCCCCCTCCTTATTACAGTTGTTTGTTCAGGTAGTCCTCGACTTACAACAGTTCATTTAATGACCATGTGAAGTCACAACGGCACTGATGGCCGTTTTTCACCCCTTATGACTGTTGCAGCGTACCCACAGTCACATGATCAAAATTTGGACACTTGGCAACTGGCTTATATTTATGATTTCATATTTAGGACGGTTGCAGTATCTCGGGATCATGTGATCACCTTTTGCAACCTTCTGACCAGCAAAGTCACCAGACCTCATGGTCTCCAGATTTGTAGCCTGTTGCTTTAACCACTGCACCAAACCGGCTCTCGTACTTTATTTAGCTCTCTTTCAAATAAGAATTCCACTTTCTTCCAGCCCTCTTGGTATTCCCTTTATTAAATGCTTTGTATTGGTTTCAAGTCAAGAATAGCTGATTCGCTTGGCCTCTTCCAATACCCGCGGAAAGAGAAAGCTGTCAACAAGACACGTCAGGAATTTCCTGGAAAGACCCTGCTCAAAGACATTTGTATCCTAACAGATGTTGGGCTAATTGATGTTTCCCATTTCGAGGGCTTCATGCCTCTTGGAAAGGCCTGCCATTTGTTTTGGGAAGTCATCATGCAAATTTTCTCTGTAATTGGTTGGGTGATCGTCAGCCTCCTGGACCATATTGTTTTCATTTGATCCTCCACTTATCCAGATGCTCTCTGCAACATTGCCAGGTTTATCCATTTGTCGTTCTCAGCAGGAATGGATATTTTTAACCCACAGGCATGAAGATCCTCCCCCACTTTTTTTTGCTTCTGTCTTTAGAACAAGTGGCATCCATAATTTGCTATATTCCGATGTTGAGACTCTAGAAAGAGTACAGAGAAGAGCAACAAAGATGATTAGGGGACTGGAGGCTAAAACATATAAGGAACGGTTGCTGGAATTGGGT